GAAGAGTTCACAGAAATGCTATCAATGATTTCCTCAGAGTTTGACTGTTTTGCTATTGCAGGGGATTTTAATATTCACATAGATAATGCAGAAAACAAAACTACAAAAGAAATTATAACTGTTTTAAACACTTTTGACCTGATTCAGCATGTGCATGAACCCACACACAATCGTGGACATACTCTAGATTTAATCATCAGTAGAGGTCTAAACATTTCATCCATTGTTATTAAGGACGTAGCACTATCTGATCACTTCTGTATTTTCTTTAATATATTGATCTCTGTTACCACTGAATCTAGATCTGTCTCTGTCAGAAAGAGATGCATTAACGAAAACACTAGTGTGCTATTTATGGAGGCTATATCTTTAACACCAAGCATTTCTGCAGACTCTGTTGATCTTCTCCTTGATTCCTTTAACTCAAAAGTTAAGAATGTTATTGATGACATTGCTCCTGTGAAAGTCAGCAAGAAGACTGGCAGACAGAACTTAAATCAATTGTTTTAATCATTTTCAATGTTTTTAAATTCCTTGTTTTATTGGTGTGATTATTTTTTTTCTTTTCTTTTATGTAAAGCACTTTGAATTACCATTGTGTATGAAATGTGCTATACAAATAAACTTGCCTTGCCTTGCCTTGCCTTGCCTTTTGGAAACCATACTCCATAGGTTTCATCCTCCCAGCATTCTGATCAGCTCTGGTTTCTACTTCCTGCATTTCAGGTGCATCCTTAACTTCCTGCTCTGGACTCTGACTCTTTTCAACATTCTTCCTTTGTCTCAGAACCCTCTTTCTAGGTTTCGGGACACTGTGAGGAATTTCTTGTCTCAACTCTTGTCCAATAGGAAGAATATGATTCCTATGCAGAATCTTGACCGGTCCAGTTCCACTCTCTGGCTTAAGTTGGAACACAGCCAAGTTAGGCATCTGGCTCTGGACAACATAAGGTTCAGTACTCCATCTGTCTGCCAACTTATGCTTTCCTTGCAGTCCAAGATTTCTAATCAGGACTCTATCTCCAGGAACCAGGTGTGAGTAATGCAGTCTGTAATCATATCTCCTCTTATTTCCTGCATTTTTCTTCTGAGTATTTTCTTCTGCCAGCTCATAAGCAGACTTTAGTTCTTGCTGCATAGTCTTTACAAAGCACTGATAAGACTATGTGGGAGTACCATCACTTGACACACCAAAACTCAGGTTGATGGGCAGTCTGGCCTCCCTTCCAAGCATAAGGAAGTAAGGCGAATACCCTGTTGCTTCGTTTAGACTGCAGTTGTACACGTGTACTAGATGTTCAATGTGACGGCTCCTTTGTTGTTTCTGCCTTGGATCCAGGGTCCCCAACATGTCCAAGAGCGTCCGGTTGAACCGTTTGGGCTGTGGATCACCCTGGGGATGGTACGGCGTTGTCCGGGACTTCTCCACTCCTAACAGGTCAAACAACTCATGGATGAGCCTGCTCTCAAAATCCCGACCCTGGCCCGAGTGCATCTGTCTAGGCAGTCCGTAGTGAGCGAAGTGTTTCTCCCACGGGACTTTTGCAACTGTGGACGCCTTCTGATCCTTAGTCGGAAACGCCTGTGCATACCTTGTGTAGTGGTCCGTGATGACAAGGACATTACCGATGTTCTTGGAGTCTGGCTCTATGGATAGAAAATCCATACACACAAGATCCATCGCTTCACTACTGGACAAATGTGACAAAGGCGCAGCTCTCTTTGGCAGAGTCTTCCTTTTGACACATCTGGCACATGTCTGGCAGTATTTTGCCACATCAGCCTTCATTCGGGGCCAGTAAAATCTCTCTTTCACAAACCCATAGGTTTTGTCAAACCCCAAGTGACCAGAATCATCATAAAGTGATTTTAAAACTACTTCATGGAACTTCTTGAGCAGGCACCACTGTTTATGACGAGATCTGTCTGGGGCTTGAGTGCACCGAAATATCACCCCATTATCCGGCACTAATCTGTTCCATTCTCTCCTGATCACTGGAAGGTCCTGATGAGCTTCTTTCTTGACTGTGGACAGATCTCCCTTTTTCAAAGCTCTCCATATCTCTCCAAGACACGGATCATCTTGCTGAGCACAGGACAGATCCATAGCACTCAACTTTGGGATTCTGAAGGCATCCAGCATAGCTAAGTTGCAGTACGCTTTGGGAACTGACTTAGAAGATCCTCCTAGTGACGTGACAATCCTGCTGGCACTTGCAAAGCAACTGGACTTGTCCTGACCTGGTAGCTTACACAAAGTTCTCACACCAGAGGATGGGATATTCGTCCATTCCTGGTCCTTCACTGTCCAATGAGGACGATGCGACAAAGCGTCAGCATTGACATTTTGTCTCCCAGGCCTGTACTTGAGACTGAAATTGTATGCTGAGAGGGCCGCCAGCCACCTATGTCCTATAGCATCCAGCTTGGCTGTTGTCAGAACATAAGTTAGCGGGTTGTTGTCTGTCTGTACCTCAAATTTAGCTCCGTACAGATAATCGTGTAGCTTGTCAACGACCGCCCACTTTAACGCCAAGAACTCAAGTTTATGGACTGGGTAGTTCTTCTCAGAAGGCGTCAAACTTCTGCTGACAAACGCCACAGGTCGTAACCCCTGTCCTTGGTCCTGATACAACACCCCGCCCAACCCTTCACAGCAGGCATCAACATGTAGGACGTACGGGAGCTGAGGATCAGCAAAGATCAAAACAGGAGCCTGGGTAAGTCTCACCTTCAACTCATTAAAAGCAGCTTTACAAGCATCAGTCCATCTACTCCCAAATGGATCAGAGGCTATGTACACTACTCGTTCTGGGAGGAGTCCTGCTTTTATCTTCTTCAAGCTCGCTGTTGGCAGACACCCTTGCAACAACTGATTCAGTGGGTAGGACACTTTAGAATAGTCTTTCACAAATCTTCTGTAGTATCCACAGAAGCCTAAGAAAGAACGTAGCTCTGACATGTTCTGTGGTCGAGGCCAATACTTTACAGCATCGATCTTTGAGGGGTTTGTTGAGACACCGTCTTGAGACACAATGTTACAGTGCCCAACATAGCTGACAGAAGGTGCACTTGTCCACAGATAACTTAAATCCTTCATTCTGCAGCTGGTCCAACACCTTGAGTAGCCTCTCTTCATACTCCTCCAATGTCCTTCCGAAAATTATGAGGTCATCCAGGTAGACTAATACCTCAAACAAATTCATGTCTCCAACTGTCTTTTCCATAACTCTTTGAAAAGTTGATGGAGCTCCACAAATCCCTTGCGGCATTCTCTGGAACTGGTAAAACCCCACCGGGCAGATGAATGCTGTCTTTTCTTGATCTGCTTCACTTAGAGGAATCTGATAGTATCCACTCCTGAGATCCAATACACTGAACCAACTTGCTCCCGTTCAGGCAAAGTCAATGCATCTTCAATGCGTGGGACAGTATATTGCTCTGGGACAGTACATCGATTCAACATCCTGTAATCCACGCACATCCTAATCTGCCCATTCTTCTTCCGTACTACGACAATCGGAGAAGCGTAGGGACTCCTGGATTCAGTGATAATCCCAGCCTCTTTCAACTTCTCCAGATGTTGCCTGATGTCTTCCAGGTCAGCTGGTGCAAGCCGTCTTGACCTCTCGCGAAAAAGCTTATCCTCAGTCAGTCGGATGTGATGATGGGTACTCCTTGAACATCCCACATTGAATTCATCACAAGAAAATACATCCTTCCTCTCCAACATTTTATTAGTCAGCTGCTGTTTCCATTCCTCGGTCACAGGGGAATCGCCAAAGTTGAATAAATATTTGCTCAGTTTTGCCTGGCCACTGCTCTCTTGGGGTTTAGAGACTGTAGGCACGACTTCAACTGGAAACACGTGAGCAATGGGCATTCCTCTTTTAATCATCACTGGACGAGAGGAGACATTTCTGATTGTAACTCCAATCCTTTTTGACTGGACAACCGTGGTAAACTGCACTTCTTGCGCTACTAGCAGTTCCTCAAGAAAATGAGATTCCTCCGGCTTATCCACTAACAGGGTCTTATCAGAAAGAGCAGCAGGGTATTTCAGGATCCCATATACCCTAACACTTTCCCCTGGAGGCAATTTCACTGGTTTAGGGCGAAGATACCAGATAGTCCCTCTAATGTCATCAGCGTCATACTTTTCGACAGCAACGATCCGTTAATAAGCATGTCTGATCTCAGGATGAACAGACAAGGTGTGAATAAAATCATTTCCGCCCTTCTCTCTGCACACTTCTACCAGCGTCTTCACCACAGAAGTATTTGTTCCCACCAGAATGTTGACATCTCCTTTCATAACAGGATTGGGGCAGACCAGCACAAGTGCATCTATGGATTCAGTCACTCCTGCCACAGATCCAGGAAACTCCAGCCTTAGATACAAACAGCCATTATATGGGTACCGCTGCATGCTCAATCCCCATATCCCCAAATTCTCTATTGGCGTCAATGGCAGATGCTTCAAGTGTTTCTAATAGAAAGATCTGTATAGCAGAGTAACTTGCGATCCACTATCCAGCAAAGCCTTAGCATAGATCCCTTCCACCTGGATAGGAAGAACAGAGCTGGGTCCCACTAACCCGCTCGGAAGAACTGCTGGCTCAACTTTGACTATTTTACACTTTGTGGAACGTGTCTTTCCCGGAGCTTTAGGCCGTTCCTCTAGAGAGCCCCGGAGAAGTTTCCCGACGACTGTCTCATTCTGATGAGTCGCTGGTTTACTTTCATGAGATTTTCTTCATTTGCACAGTCACGCTTCAGGTGCCCATCTTCTCCGCATCTGTAACAGAAGACGTTAGCTTTGTTCACTGGTCTGGTTGGTGTTTTACTCTCTGCAGTCGTAGCTAGACTGTGCAGGCCAGAACGATCATGAGTTATGGGTTCTCTTGCTGCAGCTGTCAAACGAGACACCTCGTTCTTAAGTCCTCTTATCTCCTTCTTCAGCTTTTCTACTTCTGAATCACCCATAGTATCGTTGGTAGATGGCGTATTACTTGAAGGAGACAGCTACATTAGACTGTGCTGAATTCCTGTTTGTCAACTGGGCTTCTTCTTCTCTCACCTCCTTCATTAATTCATTAAAGGAAGGAGGGGCACACAGCTTATGGGTCATTCTCAAGCGCATAGACACTAGGTCACATGTTTCACATGTTTCATGTGAAGATGATTCATGGCAGAATACTCAATGCCTTTCTTCCTCAGCATACTATGCAGCATTCTGTCCAATCTCAGTATGTAGGCTGAGAGCTTTTCTCCCTCACTCTGGTAAGTGCTCCGAAACTTTAGCATTAAATCTGCAGCATCCTCAGTTGTGCCAAAGGCTGATTCAAGCGCACTAAGATTAGCAGATGGGTTTCCAGTCTTCTCAAACCTCACAATGTCTGCTGCAGGACCTCTGAGACACTCTACTAACCTCTGCTTCTTCACGTTATCAGAACACTGCCATTCTTCCAGAATGTGAGTAGTCTGCTCCACCCAAACCTCATACTCATCTTTTCCAGGAGGAGTTGGGATAAACCCTGAGAAAGGATGCAGCTTTCTATATCCGACTCTCTCCTCAGATGAAGCTACAGGCAGGGTGCGAACTACGGGGGAGCTAGGGGGAGCTTGGCTCCCTTAATAAGACATGGGCTGAAATTTTGGGGGGTCTCAAAAAATATTGACAATGTGTTATTTTGACGTGCAATTTCAGTTTTGTGTAATGTGATCATCGTGGATTATTATGTGTAAAATTGCAAAAATATCATTCATTCATTCATGCATGACGGCGATTTAAACCTAATTCACTTCAATAAAAATAACTACATGCTATTCTTGTCATGAGCATCAAGGTGTGGGGGCGCTGCGGTGCACAAATTCCACTCATGTTTAGTACGTTAACTCAAAGATTCGTAGAAAAAATATAAACGTTGGACTCTGTGGTCGATTCTTTGTTAAGGTAAAGCATGTTATTTGGAATTATGTGTTGTGGCTGGGTTGTTATAAGTCTGCGTGACTCTCGATGTCTTAGGCCTAATTGAACGGAGGAATTATGGTATTCTTCTGTAGCCTGACGACGAGTAACTTTAACCGTTGTTCATGTGAACTCAAAGACAGCCGGATGCTTTGTTTATAGACTATTTGTGGGTGGCTGTTTGTTGTTTCACCTATCAATTCGTGTCAATAAAGTATAATAGGGTAAATCCTGTATAGTGATTTATCCTATATAGTGCTTGCATAAAGCAAGTAGTGCATACACTTGTAGCTGTCATGTGTCTTTGTAAGTCATTGTAAGCCCTCTTTTGAGGCACGAGCAAACGCACGAACCACAAAGATTTTCTTTTTTCTTTTTGGAGAAAAAAAGATCAGCTTAAACTGGAACTCATCTTCCTTACTCTGCTTAGGTGTTTCAGCTGCAATGTGAACAACCTGTGTGTACCGGGAGCCTACTTCAGGTCCTCCAAGCTCTGCAGGGATAGACATCTTGGAAATGCTATCAGCAGTTTCAAGTAAGACAAACTGCCGTCGCTTAGTCTTATCAGAGCGATGATCAAGCACTTTGCATTTCCAAATTCCCAGAACAGCATCCAGCACACTATAGATTACTCTGTCTTCACTATCTGTGGGTACATTGTTCAGAATAAAAACTCTGTCCAGCTCAACGTCTTTCTCTCTGCACCAAGCAATAATCTCTTTGACCTCCATTTTGTTCACGTCACTGACCATATGTGCTCAGAAAAATAGGAAATGGCTGTTAAGCATTAAAGCTCTTTAGACACAGTATGCACATATATTGCTTCCAATTTTTTTTTTCAGAACACTTATATTCACTATTTCTGAAAACACAATCTGAATTATCTGAATGATCCCGGATGACAAGCCCCCACAAAATGTAGCCCTCCTGCCAGGTAAATATCTTGCGACTCACACAATAAAAATCTGTCTAGGGGATATTATTTCCACCACTATCCCAGTAAAGGCACATTTCTCTTTCATTACAGTATTCACAGTATATAATCCAGGTCTCAGATTTTCACTTGGTTGTATCAGATTGAAAGAAATTTCTTATTTGGAAATTTAAGTACAAAACTATGTTACTTTTAAACTTGAGAATACAAATCTTTTTGAAATTCCACAGGAAAACACACAAAGATAAAGATGATCAATAAATGTGGATTTATTATTTTCAGGAAATTTTTTTTTTCTTTCCTCTGTGTTTTCCCTTTTGTTTGTCACGTGAGTGACCAAATAATTCAATTCACACAGTCTCAACAGTATAGGCACATTTCTCTTTCATTACAGTATTCACAGTATATAATCCAGGTCTCAGATTTTCACTTGGTTGTATCAGATTGAAAGAAATTTCTTATTTGGAAATTTAAGTACAAAACTATGTTACTTTTAAACTTGAGAATACAAATCTTTTTGAAATTCCACAGGAAAACACACAAAGATAAAGATGATCAATAAATGTGGATTTATTATTTTCAGGAAATTTTTTTTCTGTGTGAAAAATGTGTTTTCCCTTTTGTTTGTCACGTGAGTGACCAAATAATTCAATTCACACAGTCTCAACAGTATTAATCACAATAAACATCATAATCAAAAAGAAAGGGAAAAAATAAACCCAATGTCAATGTAATACTCTGGTTTTACTCAGATTTCACCTCAGTATTACCCAGCTGGGATTAGCAGTACACCGTTGGCGCGCTAGTTGGAGCTCTTTCGATGGAAAAAAAAACTGTACTCACAAATCCTGGAGGAACAAAATTTCACTTGCAGATTAATAATTGCTGATCCTTAATGCACGATGAAATGAAAAGCACAGCCTCCGTGACATCTCCCGCGACGACGTTGAGTGGATCTGATGAACTCCTCCCTCCTCAAACAGGTCAGATGAATCCGCGAAGATCTTCTTCCATATCCCAACCTTGACTCGACGATCTCTCAGTCTTGTAAAAGACGATTATCACGCATGTGACACGAACTCCCAACTACACACACCATGGTGATACTTAACACCAAATTAATAAAATAAACACGGGTATCTTCTTCCAAATTTCAAACGAATAATACGATTTATAACGAAGACACTGAACTTGAGAAAAATAAACATGGGAATATTCTTCCGGATGATTTCTCAACCTTAATCTAATAAAAAAAAAAATAATGAAAAAGTCGTTACGAACCATAAAACGGACTTTCTCACGTAGAATATCCTCATGCCGGATTTCTTCCGAAGCGGACTCATGTGAGGCTGGTGTGCGTGCGGCCTCCTTTGAACTCTCTCGCAGCGCTCTCTCTCGTGCGGCGAGCTGCAAACTGATGCGTGATACTTTTTGTAGCAAATTAGCTCAAAAGGGAAATGAAAGTGAGGGCAGCAGGTGGTTGTTTGCCCTCTGTATAGCTCGAACGTCACTAGAAATCTGATGTTTGTGTTGTCGCTTTGCTCTTGTAGCGACTTCCCAGTACACCTCAGTTGAGTTTTGTTCAAGGAGCTCTTTTGCTAGTGTCAGCAGCTCCTGTAACTCAGAAGAAGGCGTGTCCAGCTGTCCTTGTGCAGCATTCTTTTGGCACCTTGTGGGGGACTGTCGTTGGACATACCGTGGTGTTCGCAGGATGAGGATGGCCTTTTCCATGGTTTCTGCCAGTGGTTGGTCTGGGACTTGGGTCTGTTGCCACGGTGATGGCTCTGTCCTCCGCTGGCTAGTGGCTTTCTGTAGAAGGGTTATGCATTGTGGCAATGCTGGGTGCCTTCTGGTGCCCGCTTTGGATTCTGGGTTGTGAAGTTCAGAATCAGTGGGGTCTTACAAACACCTTTGGTGGAGGCCTTGTGCTTGTTAAAGGCCTTTTGTGTCAGGTCACACAGTTGTTGAATAGGCATTGAGTGGGGGCAGGCCATATTGCCTAAATGGTGACTTACAATAGGGTGGAGGTTTCGGAGGAAAAGGCTCTTGAAGCTGGTGTCCTCCTCCATCCCAGGGTAATTGCGAGCTCCTAAGTAAGCTCGTCGAAGTCTGTGGTAGAAAGCATGGGGAGTTTCATGCCGGCCCTGTTTGGTGTCTGGGGCTGTCTCGCTGCTGAGCAAGGACTTGGATTTCAGCTCGGGCTGCTTGCAGGTGGCATTCACAGGCGTTGTTTCGGTTCGCCTGAATTAAACTTTTTTTTTTTTCTCTGCAGCTGCAGAGGTTTTCAGGGAGCTGACTTGTGAAGTGTCAAGCAGAAGGGATCCAGAGCAGATAGAGTCTATCTTGGTGGTTCACACTGGTCCAAGACTGCAGGTAAAAGTCAATGTCTCGCAGGTAATCGTGGACGTCGGCGTCTCCTTCAAGTTCTGGTGTGAATGCAGGGATGTTTCTGGCCATTCGGTTGAGGTCTTTGAGTGTCACTCCATGTGTCATTTCAGAGTTTGTCTGAATTGATCCTTTTCCTTCTGCGGCTGCAGAGGTTTCCAGGAAACTAACTTGTGAAGTGTCAATCAGAAGGCTTTGGCTACCCCCCCACCCTGTATCTGTGTACAGGGGTGAGGGGGTTTACACTGCTGGCAGTGTGACGTGCAGCAGGGTGACTTTTACCTGAGTCCATGCACAGTCTGTAGGACTGTTTCAGTTCTTTCTGGACCATGTCAAGCCTTTAATGTTGCAGAATTGCTGAGTCAGGGTTTGGACTTCAGCTCTGGCTGCATGCAGATGGCCTTCTAAGGCCTTAACTCTAGTGTCTCTTTCATTAAGTTTCACATATGCTGTTTTTAAGAGTGATTTTGAGTGAAACAGTTCTCTTTCCAAGTCCTGTCTGGTGGCTTTTCTTTTTTTTTTAATTATATGTTTTATTAATTTTCACTTTATGAAGAAATAACATACTTGCAAAATAATTATAACAATGACAACAACAGGTAAAAAAAAAAAAAAAAACATTTCAGCTCTCACACACAAAAAACAAGGGTTACATGTGCGTACACTTACACGGGAATTCAGTAAGTCGGGGAAAATAAAAAAATATTGAAGTACTGACAATGAGTAAAGATTATAGCACAACTAACAAAATCAGCCATGACACCCTTAGATAAATCCTCTTGTCAGGATGGAAGCAATGTCAAGATCAACATATGTCAAAAAAGGTTCCCAAATTTTATGAAACACTCCACTCTTATCACGTACAATACAAGTCAGATAAACTAACGACACATATTCAAGAATAGTTTGATGCCGCATCCTAACAGAGGGAGCTTTATCTAAGATCCATTGTAAAACTATAAATTTTTTAGCACTGAAAATGAGAAAATTAAAAAGCCTAATTTTGCACTTATCAAGACCTACAGGAGGAGTAATTCCAAGTAGATAAGACGCTGGATCTGGAACCAAAGAAACACCCAAAATTTTCTTCAGTTCTTCAGACACCCCCCCCCAAACCCTCTGTATCTTGTTACAAAACCACAGACAATGAGTAAGACTACCTATTTCGGTCTTGCATTTGGGACAAAAAGGAGAGAAATCAGCCCTAAATCTACTGCGCTGGGAAGGAGAAATGTGAGCTCTGTGAAGAATCTTGAACTGAATAGCTTTTACTTTATTACATACAGTGGGTACGGAAAGTATTCAGACCCCCTTAAATTTTTCACTCTTTGTTATATTGCAGCCATTTGCTAAAATCATTTAAGTTAATTTTTTTTCCTCATTAAGAATACTTAGGACCATTTGATATTTCAGTTTTTCTTTTTTAATATATCTGCAAAAATGTCAACAATTCTGTGTTTTTCTGTCAATATGGGGTGCTGTGTGTACATTAATGAGGAAAAAAAATTAACTTAAATGATTTTAGCAAATGGCTGCAATATAACAAAGAGTGAAAAATTGAAGGGGGTCTGAATACTTTCCGTACCCACTGTATACTCAGACTCTTTGCGTTTTTCCAAACCATATTCCAATCTTCATCTGCTGCTTGAATATTAAGTTCCCTTTCCCAAATCGTTTTAAGAAAATGAGTGGATGTGCCAACATACTCCGATAACAGCCTATAAAATAAACTTATAGATTTAGTTGAGTGCATCTCGAAAAGCTGCTTCTCAATTTCTGTGGAACTTGCATTAGAAATAAGTGTTGTATCCTTTTGAATGTGATTTCTTATTTGTAAATAGCGGAAAAAATCCCGCCCATCAAGGTTGTATTTTTTGGAAATCTGAGTAAAAGACATAAGAGTATTATTATCAAAAAGATATTTTAGTTTAGAAAGCCCCTTAAGAGCCCACTGTCGAAAATGTAAATCACTGACACCTGGGGGAAAATCTAGATTATTACATATTGGAGTATAAACTGATGTTAAGCATAATTTACCTTCAAGTCGCCTAACAGACTGCCAAGCCTTCACAGAATTTAAAATAATAGGGTTTGTACAAGCTACTCTAACTATCTTCATTCTTTTGAGAAAGAGCAAATTTTGAAGAGGGACCTGTGACAGAAAGGACTCTATATCCAACCATAATGAAGTTGGGTCTTCTGAAATCTAAGTAGTT